AATCCAACAGCATGACTGTCTGCCACAGCCACTCTGGGTTGAGCTGATTCAGGGGGCTCACAGGAAGGTGAAACCATTCAGGCATCAGATCGGATCATAAGAATATCTGATAAATATGCAAAGAGTACAGTATATTTTATATTATCTTTATTTTGCAACAAGAGCCAGTACTACAAGACCAGGTCAATGCAAGAGGTCATGTGCAGAGGAATGTTGTTCAAGAAAACACATCCAAGAACATTCTAAAACTGTATAATAAACATCAGTGTGTGACCTAACCAGCAATGGAGAACTGTTGGGTTCAGTGACTAGTCAAGATTTATGCTACCACCGTCCCCATTATGTGAAAATCATCATTATTCAAAGACCAGGTCAATCCACCTGTCAAACATGGGTGTATAGATGGACAACCTAGCTCCTGCTGCATGAACGTCAACCACCGTCCTCATTATGGGAAAATCATCATTATTAAAAGACCAGGTCAATCCACCTGTCAAACATGGGTGTATAGATGGACAACCTAGCTCCTACAGCATGAACATCAACCACCGTCCTCATTATGGGAAAATCATCATTGTTTAAAGACCAGGTCAATCCACCTGTCAAACATGGGTGTATAGATGGACAACCTAGCTCCTACAGCATGAACATCAACCGCCGTCCTCATTATGGGAAAATCATCATTGTTTAAAGACCAGGTCAATCCACCTGTCAAACATGGGTGTATAGATGGACAACCTAACTCCTACAGCATGAACATCAACCACCGTCCTCATTATGGGAAAATCATTGTTTAAAGAACAGGTCAATCCACCTGTCAAACATGGGTGTATAGATGGACAACCTAGCTCCTGCTGCATGAACGTCAACCACTGTCCTCATTATGGGAAAATCATCATTATTCAAAGACCAGGTCAATCCACCTGTCAAACATGGGTGTATAGATGGACAACCTAGCTCCTACATCATGAACGTCAACCACTGTCCTCATTATGGGAAAATCATCATTGTTCAAAGACCAGGTCAATCCACCGGTCAAACATGGGTGTATAGATGGACAACTTAGCTCCTGCTGCATGAACATCAACCACCGTCCTCATTATGGGAAAATCATCATTATTCAAAGACCAGGTCAATCCACCTGTCAAACATGGGTGTATAGATGGACAACCTAGCTCCTACAGCATGAACGTCAACCACTGTCCTCATTATGGGAAAATCATCATTATTCAAAGACCAGGTCAATCCACTTGTCAAACATGGGTGTATAGATGGACAACCTAGCTCCTACAGCATGAACATCAACCACCGTCCTCATTATGGGAAAATCATCATTATTCAAAGACCAGGTCAATCCACCTGTCAAACATGGGTGTATAGATGGACAACCTAACTCCTACAGCATGAACATCAACCTACGTCCTCATTATGGGAAAATCATCATTATTCAAAGACCAGGTCAATCCACCTGTCAAACATGGGTGTATAGATGGACAACCTAGCTCCTACAGCATGAACATCAACCACCGTCCTCATTATGGGAAAATCATCATTATTCAAAGACCAGGTCAATCCACCTGTCAAACATGGGTGTATAGATGGACAACCTAGCTCCTACAGCATGAACATCAACCACCGTCCTCATTATGGGAAAATCATCATTATTCAAAGACCAGGTCAATCCACCTGTCAAACATGGGTGTATAGATGGACAACCTAGCTCCTACAGCATGAACGTCAACCACTGTCCTCATTATGGGAAAATCATCATTATTCAAAGACCAGGTCAATCCACTTGTCAAACATGGGTGTATAGATGGACAACCTAGCTCCTACAGCATGAACATCAACCACCGTCCTCATTATGGAAAAATTATCATTATTCAAAGACCAGGTCAATCCCCCTGTCAAACATGGGTGTATAGATGGACAACCTAGCTCCTACAGCATGAACATCAACCACCGTCCTCATTATGGGAAAATCATCATTATTCAAAGACCAGGTCAATCCACCTGTCAAACATGGGTGTATAGATGGACAACCTAGCTCCTACAGCATGAACATCAACCACCGTCCTCATTATGGGAAAATCATCATTATTCAAAGACCAGGTCAATCCACCTGTCAAACATGGGTGTATAGATGGACAACCTAGCTCCTACAGCATGAACGTCAACCACCGTCCTCATTAACAAGAAGAGTAATGCTGTAGAGACAACGAGACCAGTGATTTAAAGTCTGTCAGCAGGAACAGTTTGTATTTCCGTGTCCAAAACCTGTGTGTGTAGTGTTTGCAAAAACTGTTGAGGATCCTTACAGAACATGTGGGCCAAGCATACTGAGTAGGGAGGAGAGACCTGGGCGCATGTCAGATGTTTACTGCAGTGGTTTGGGCACCATGGTCACCACAACGCAAACCACTGCAGTAAACATCTGACATGTGCACCACATCTATATTGTCTTGCTGTCACTAGGCGCCTACTACAGATTTGATGCCAAGGCCAGGATTCTGGCGCCAACTGCACAAGAAATGTTCAGAAAACACAGTCCTTTTCAAAGAGACCAAGATCTGGTGTACAGATGAACGTCCTAACTCCTGCAGTATGACCACCATCCTCATTAAGGGAAATAAGTAAAATCTATTTTTTTTTTACATTTGTATACTTATCCTGCATTACTTAGTGCATTTAATGCTGTTATTTTGACAGAAAGACGAGCTGTGAGTGGTTCAGCTGTAAAAGAAAGTTGTTCAAACCTGAAGTGCGATAGCACCTTCGCACAGCCACCACGTGACCTAGCACCCTCTCACAGCCACCACGTGACCTAGCACCTCGCACAGCCACCACGTGACCTAGCACCTCGCACAGCCACCACGTGACCTAGCACCCTCTCACAGCCACCACGTGACCTAGCACCTCGCACAGCCACCACGTGACCTAGCACCTCGCACAGCCACCATGTGACCTAGCACCTCGCACAGCCACCATGTGACCTAGCACCCTCGCACAGCCACCACGTGACCTAGCACCTTGCACAGCCACCACGTGACCTAGCACCTCGCACAGCCACCACGTGACCTAGCACCTCGCACAGCCACCATGTGACCTAGCACCTCGCACAGCCACCACGTGACCTGGAAGTGGTGTCGTCACATAAAAGCACATTACTGCTTTGTCATCTCCATGGACAGACATTTATTTTGAGCATAAAACTGTACAGTTTCCAGCTTCCTTTGTTTAAAAACAGTACATCGTTTTCCTACTTGCCTTTGTGTAGTTATCTAGGATTTATACCTAATTGTATTTTATGTCACAGGAACAAGTCTGGCAATGACCCTCATCCGCTGTCAATACAATGCCATAAAGAGTAGAGTGTGCTTATCCAAAGAGATTTAATCCAAAGGAAAGAAGTGTAGCTTTCAGATCTGAGTTTAGAAACCCCAGGCAAGGAAGGGACGAGTCAGTATCAGTTACGCAGATTAGCACTTCTGGCATATCCGGAAGCCACCTTTGCCTCACTAGAGTTGCCCGTGATTGATCAATTTCTGACAGGATTGACAAACTTCAATATGAAGAAGCATATTGCTTTCGCTCATCCGCAAACTTTAGAGGAAGTTATAACACACGGTATTGAATACGATGCAGTTGAGGGAAATAGAAGCAAAAAGCCAGAAACTTCCGATAGGGTTGCTGTGGTATCTCAGACAAGTCCTGACGAAGGTTTAACTGTAGAGGCAGTTAGCAAATTGATAGATTAGCGTTTGGAAAAGTTTACTAGAGTCCCACCTAAATCTAGGAAATTTAGTTGTTTCATTTGTCAAGATCCTGGACATCCAAGGGACAAATGTCCTTATTTGGCTAAGTTGGGTTTACCTGGACCTTCTGTATGCACGGGATCTAAAGGATCTGTAGGGGCTAAGACTAACTTGGGAAACTGAGTCAGGCTGGGATCGGGGCCGAGATTTCAGCCGGGTTAGAACAAAATGTTAGGCCTACTGAAGGAAGTACGACAGTGTTATCCTCACAACATGACATTAGTAGTTCTGATGTACGAGAACAGGTAGTGTTACACGCTGATACCAATGGGAAATCTTGTCTTTTTCTAGATGTTGAATTGAGGCAGGTACCTTGTAAACTATTGGTAGATACAGGTTCTCCTGTTTCATTATTGTCATACCAAGATTTTCTGAGATTAGGCCTCGAAGGTGTTACATTCAGTAAGGTTGATAAGGAATTTTTCACAGCTACCGGTACTCCGGTGAATGTGTATGGTTGTGCAACATTTGAGTTTACTGTTGGTAGTGCACAGTTTGTGCAAGAGTTTATTGTTGCAGACCTAGGACATTTGAGTATTATTATTGGCATTATGATTGGACGTAAGATTCTTAAAACTTCACAAGGCAAATTGAAGTTGCATAAACAGAAAACTCGTACAAACCTGTAGAGGTTATGGATTCTCTGATGAAATCCTCCTTGGGGCACTTATTGCATTTTCCTTGCTCAAGAAAATCTACATAACATAGTTGTAACCATTTTCCTTAATAAAATATGTTACCACACCAAAAACAACATTTTTGTATGATATATGACCACCCCAACGGGGCCTCACCCTCTACAGGCGACACACGCCAAGGGGAGCAACTCTCACCCAAATCACTTTTCCAATGTCTCATAGCAGACGGAATGTGGGGAGGCGGGCAGCTGTGCCCAAAGGATTTCATCAGAGAATCCATAACCTCTACAGGTTTGTACGATTCTCTTTCAGATGAAATCCTCCTTGGGGCACTTATTGCATCAAGATAGACTCCCAAAGATAATAAAGGAAGCGGCATACGTCTGCAACAAGCGTAAATAAACACACGATGAAAGAGAATTAAAAAAATGGAACCCACCTTATCGTGAAACACCACCGTCGAGAGGCGGGGGCTTGAGACAGGGCATGGTCAGACCATATACTATGAAAAAGCCCCAGTAATGGGCCATCATAATGTGAGTGAAAACTCCCCCCCCCCCCCCCCCCACACACACTTTTGTACAAGTGATAATGGGGACAACAATCGCGAGGGACAATACGCCTGCTAGCTAGGCAGGCTATAGGGTCCTGTAGGAGCGAGTGCCGTGCGCAAAACAAGTGCTTTATCGATTAGTAATGCCTACCCAAGAATCGTCAGTCTCGGAGAGAAGAGAGGAGCCAAGAAAACCGGAGGACATTCTAAAATCTCAAAGACTCAATCGGCTAGAGATGTAGAACTCTGTCCAGTGTGGAGAACTGACTGACCAAACCGAGCACGCTCCCTAGAACGTTTATCGATTTGGTAATGTTTGATGAACGTGCTCGGCCAGCTCCAAATAGCCGCGGAGCAGATCTCCTCAATGGGCAGAGCTGCGGCATACGCTTTTGACGTAGCCACTGCCCTAACCGAATGAGCCTTCAACCCCTCAGGGGGGTCCCTCCCTTTGTTCGTATATGCCGAACAAATTGTAGAAACAATCCACCGCGAGATAGACTGTTTGCTCGCAGGGGAGCCAGCCTTCCTACCGCCGTAAAAGCAGAATAATTGATATCCTTAGTCTTGCTGATATAAACCTTGAGAATCTTGCGGACATCCAAAACATGAGCATGTCTTGCAGAGGTCCCCGACGAGGAAGGCTGTGAAAGAGCAGGTAGCTCGATAGGAGCCGTCACGTGGAAAGCGTGTGTGACCTTGGGACGGTAAGAGTCCGGTAGGCGAATACTGACTCTGTCCCTGTGAAAGACAGTCAGCTCGGGATCGGGGGACATTGCGTCAATGTCGCCTACCCGTCTACCTGACGTCACTGCCACAAGGAACGCTGCCTTCCAACTCAACAGCTGAAGGGAGAGAGACGACAGATCCCGAAAGGAAGGACCGGACAGCCAATCAAGAACGATTGACAAGTCCCAAGGAGGATTGATCGGTCGGATCCTGTCCACGCCTGCCAAAAAGCGCTGCACTTAAGGGAACGCACCCAGAAGTGCCCCGTCGATAGGGATGTGAAAGGCCACAATGGCTGTCGAGTACCCCCTGACTGTCGATGCGGCAAGGCTGGCATCAAGTCGTGACTGGAGGAACTCTAACACTGCGACTAGATCTGCAGAAAAGGGATCTGCAAGCCCTCTATTGACACACCAGCGCGCATAGCAGGCCCATCTATCGTCATATTTAACGTTTGTTGAATCCCTCTGCGAAGCCAGTATTGTGTCTGCAACTTGTGTGTGGTCAGCCAGATGACATGAGGAAAAGTGATTTGGGTGATAGTTGCTCCCCTTGGCGTGCGTCGCCGGTAGAGGGTGAGACCCCGTTGGGGTGGTCATTTATCATACAAAAACGTTGGGGGTGCTAAGTGGTTCAGCACTTTGGATGTAGCAAGGGGATATTGGCAGGTAAAGATGGATCCTAGAGATAAAGACAAAACTGCTTTTGCTACACATGTAGGATTATACCATTTCAATGTCATGCCTTTTGGGTTAACAAATGCACCGGCTACAATTGAAAGGCTTATGGATAGAGTGTTAGGAAAATTAAGGTGGAAGAAATGTCTTTGCTATCTGGATGACGTGATCATCTTTGGCCCAGATTTTGGTAGTGCATTGGAAAATCTAAAGATGGTATTTACGCAGTTACGGCTAGCAAATTTGAAACTCAAACCCAAGAAGTGTACACTCTTTCAAACTGAAGTTCCATTTTGGGGACATATAGTTTCAGCAGAAGGGATAAGATGTAATCCTGAAAAGACTAGTTCTGTCAATACCTGGCCAAAACCTGAAACCGGACAGAGGTCCGCAGCTTACTAGGACTCGTTGGTTATTATCGACACTTTGTACCAAAGTTCTTGGAGATAGTCTATTCAAAGGAAAAGCTAACACGGAAGGGTGTTCCTTTCATTTGGACTGAGGAATGTGATAGTGCTTTTTGTCAGTTGAAACAATGTTTATTAGATGCTCCAGTACGGGCATTTCCTCAGGATGAAGGTCTGTTTATACTTGATACGGATGCTAGTGCATACAGTATGGGAGCTGTTCTCTCACAAGTGCAGAATGGGAAAGAAAAGGTCTTAGCTTATGCCAGTAAAACTCTTGGTCCTGCACAAAGAAATTATATCACCACCAAGCGAGAATTGTTAGCAGTAGTCACTTTTCTGAAATCATTTCGACACTACTTGTATGGTCGAAAATTCCTGATACGAACAGATCATGCTCCACTGATATGGTTGAAAAACTTCAGGGATCCTGAAGGAATTTTGGCAAGATGGTTTTGGTTAGATGGGTAAGTATCATTGAGACATATAGTTTTGAAATCCAGTATCGAGCGGGCACCAAACATCAAAATGCCGAGTCCAATCTGTTTGGAGAAATCTGTGCATTGTTGGGAATAGAAAAGACCAGAACTACACCGTACCGACCCCAATCCGATGGGATGATAGAACGTTTTAATCGTACGCTTAAGCAAATGCTATCCATTTATATCCAGCAAGAACCTTTGGATTGGCGAGTTCACCTTCCATATCTTCTCATGGCATACCGTTGCAGCGAACATAAAAGCACACATTGTTCTCCAAATCTGATGATGTTAGATCGTGAGATAAGGGTACCGATAGATGTCATGGTGGAGAATCCACCTGGAGTTCAGGTTCAACAATGTCCAGTTGCTTATGTCAAGTGGTTACAGGAAACCATGCAGAAAGTCTTCCAATTTGCCTCTGAATGGTTAGGAGTTGCGGCTGCAGCTCAAAAACGGAATTATGGACAGGGCTTAAAGAGGTCTTTTGAAATGGGGGAGTTAGTCTGATGGTGGTATCTTCCAAAGGCAAATCAAAAGTTGGGATTAGGTTGGGATGGTCCTTATCTTGTAGTTGGTTACGTTTCAGACTTAACCTACCAAAGAAAAGCAGTAGTAGTCCTATTGTCGATGTGCATGTGGATCATCTTAAACCTTTCCATGGTACTGATACACCCCAGAATTGGTTACATTCTGATAGGCCAAGGACAGAGTTATCTTTGTCTACTGAATCTGCTCCAGAGTCAACAGATGAATCTATTGTGCAGGAAGAGGGGGATGGCGTTGAGTGTAGTCTATCTCCACCACCAGTTAGAACTAGAGTAGGGAGGGCTGTAAAGCAAAGGAAAATGTTTTCCCCGTAGGTGTTAGGAGATTTGTAAAATCTCTGATTATCGCGTCCGATTTTAATAAGTCTTGTTGTTATGCTTCGTTATTTTCTAAAATAAATTATATCTCTTGATTTATGTTGTATTTGTTGTTTTTTTAAAGTTGGGTGTTGGTTTTAAACATAAGAAATAAAAAGAATGTTTGTAGGGCGACATCGATTCCTTGGAAGTTATCTTCCACTTGTTTTAGGATGGACACGTTTGAAGTCAATGTCGACCCAGAGGAGTTGAAGGACTTTATGGATCAGGATCGGCCATTATGGACAGAGGAGGGGATGCGTTGTTAAGTCCCAGGATGCATCAGCAGAGTTTTTAAGAAGTATGGGGACTATCTAGACCACTGGTTGGCCCGGCATAAGGAGGACATCCTCCGCCACCAGTCCAGCTCATGTAGACGACACCTCAAGATTCATCCTTCGGGAGAAGTACAGGCAGTCCGGTTACCGAATTCTAGTTTTTTGAGTCCTGGCTCAGTGATGTTGCCGCGGCGAAGGACAGCAGGAACGCCGACCTCCGTCTCTGGATCGTCTTCGTCCCATGGAGCAGCATGTTTGTCAGCCAGCCGGATATCTCTCAGGGAACTGCACAGCGCAGGAGACACTGGCTGCCGTCAAGGAGGAGATCTTGGGAGGAACGGGAGGAAGAGGAGCTGGAAGCCATAAACAACTTGGACTCCGACTGAATCTGTTGTTGTGGATGTTTCTTTTTGTTGTTTTTCTGCTGATCTGTTGTTGTTATTTATCTGTAAGTATGAAAGCGTTGTGTTAAAGAAAGCAGCATTTTGGGACAAAATTGGGTAATTTTGATCTTAAGGGGGGAGGTACGTGGTAGTTGGGCTAAAAATAGCCCAAATAGACTAGTTTTAGGTGTAGGTTTATTTTATGTGGTAGTAGGGTGGGGGAAAATTAGTTGTAGGAAAAATATGTAGAAATAAGGATTTAGGTAGGTTGGAAAGTAAGAAATAAGTTAAAATGTAGGTTTTGTAAGGTATTTATTTAGTATAGTTATTGGAATAGTGGTGTGGGGGAGAAGTAGGTGTAGGAGAAAATAGGATAAATTAGGCAGTTAAGGATAAAGAAATTTAGGCTAATAGTAAAAGTTCAATTGTGTGTGAGTGCTTTCTTTTTGTATTTTTCTGATTTATTGTTAATTTGTACATTTTGTTAAGTTTAATAAATCATTTAATTTATGATTTTGTCTTAGTTTTGTTTTGGCAAAGTTGAGAACTTGACCAACCATAGAACCTCGAGAGAGTACACTGTTCATGACTGATCACAGTAGAACACAACGCAAAGTCCGAAATTATATGAACAGGGTTCGAACTTAGTACTCTCCGATTGCAATCCTGTCACTGGGCAGCCCGCTAGAGGGCGCCTATTACACAAGTAAGGATGTGAAATGGATGCTTGTGTTTGATATAACGTCACTCACAAGAGAAGAAGTCAAGACACAAGGTTGCCTATCCGAGTAAGGATGTCACTTCCACTTTGCTCTCAAACGCAGGTAGTGAAAATTGTGAGATTCCACTGACTCGAGCTCGGCTCAGAGACGACACTATTCAAGCATTCTTCAGGAACAGCAGCAGCACTATAACGATCGTAGTTGGGTCCTTGTCCATGATAGAATTATCCTGCCACTGTGCACTGCTCCTGTGAATAACTTCCAAGTTAATTCTTCTGCTAATTCCCATGGTCTCTTTCACATATGCAATTCCACTGTAACAGTAAACAACTTTCTCCATCCCAGCTAAACTGCATGTCTAAGAGATCACATGTTTGAAGCCGCTTGTCACCACCTCAGTTTCAGGCGACTTCAACTTGTATTTTCTGTTTTTGATTATTTGTACATCAAAGATATGCATACTACAAATTACAAGTGAGAAGAAGGACTGTGATAAAGAATTGAATTTATGATGTTTGTTGTTATTTTTTTCTGAAAAATGGGCATGAAAATGTGACCACCTCTTTAGTAAAATTAACCATTATTATTGGAGTGCCTTGATTGGTTTCGCGGCACCCGATAAAATGCATGTTGCCAAAGGTAAGCACGAGGAGACGTTTTGCTCATGACAGTTTTGTTTTGTCATGTGCTCAGTAAATTCGTTCCTCCTAAATATCGATTTTAAATAATGTTCATGTTACAAAGTCGATACAAATTTTGTTTGATGAGATTTGTGTGATGTTATGCTGACTGGATCGGAAATCTTTCATTTGAACACTCCGCCTAATAGAATCGTGTTCAAATAAAATTTCCGAACATCTGTTTAGCATAACATCACGTAAATCTTAAAGAATTTATCTCTTAAGTCAAAGAGACTGCCTCCGAGAGTGATACAGATTCAGCTCGTGCCTGGGTTAACCTTGCACCAAGGTCACAGCTGAAGAAACACTTGCCAAACAGAACACATTCCAAAAAGAAATTGTTACTGAGTAGTGTTCAATATTGACCTCTCATCAATCTGTACAATCACTAAAAGTATCCTTCATTAATCAGGAGACAAGGCTCGACCAGCACAAGCTATCCACAAGCAGTGCGTAAAAGACAACTCTCCCAATTTAACATTACACTTACAGCGGTAAAAACAGAATTGTCAAACAAGAGTGAAGAAGCTATGCTAAGAATACAACATCTAGAAGAAGAAAAAAGCTGAAGACAATTTATCCATAACCAAGCAACATAAATCTCCCAAAGATCTCAACTAGTGATCAGGTTATCCATACAACTCAAGCTCCATCTAAACAAACACTGGGAAAAACAAAACCTCCCCAAAGAAGGAAAGTGGTACTGATGTGGGTTCAATATTGACCTCTCATCAATATGTACTGTCTCTAAAAGAATCCTTCATTAATCAAGACACACGGCTCATCCAGCACAAGCTGTCCACAGCAGTGCCTAGAAGACAGCTCTACCAATCTAACCATACTCTTAAAGCAGTAAATATGGACTTGTCAAACAAGATTAAAGAAGCTCTGTTCCAAATACATGGCCTTGAAGAAGGTCAGAAAAAGGAAGACAGAAAACCTATCCATAAACAAGAAATATAAATCTCTACATGACAATATCTCCAAGTTGTCAGATAACCTGTCATCCTTGGAAGAAAGTTCCATCAGACAAGCTAAGAGGAAATTGTAAAGTTTAAAATAAATTGTGTATTTATAAATACTTATGGCATACCGGTGTGTGTGTGTGTGTTTGTGTGTGTGTGTGTGTGTGTGTGTGTGTTAGTGTGTGTGTTAGTGTGTGTGTGTGTCCGTCCATCCGTCCGTCTCTCATCCTGGAGATGTGTCGTTGCAAGTTTTCGGCTAAAGCAGCAGCCCTACTCGAGCAACAGAACTGGAAAGGGGATTGGAGTAAGGTGGACACAGACCTTTACAGGGTGATATTCACAGGCCAGGGTGTCAAGGCTTGTCAGCTGTGCCAGGATATAGGTCACATGACAGAATTGTGCTCCCTTGTGGTTACCAACCATGCCAACAGGTACACCACCAACCAACAGGTACACCACCAACCAATAACTGCCGATGTGAATAAAACCAACTATCAATCTCTTTTGGATCTTGAAAATCTATACATTTAAATACGTTTGAACATGTAAAAACGGACCAATCAGCTGAAAGTAATTAAGCTATCTGTGGTTATCTCCTTTGAACAGCTTTCCCACCAATTCTCACACATTTCTCCTGCTTATTTGTTACACATGGAGCTTAGAAAAATGGCAAAGAGGGGAAACTTATTGAAGCCATACATCATTTAATTACATTTGTTGCCACTGATTGAGTGAGTGAGTGAGTGAGTGAGTGATGAGGTGCTTATTACAGCAGAGCACTTAATAGGGTAAATACGGTAAACCGGCTTGCATTTCACAATATTGCACTAGATTGATAGACTTAGCAGACACTAAATGTTGTTTGGATAATAAACGTGGACTGAGCAGTGTCCCCAGTACAAGCCCCATCAGCACACAGCTGCAGGAGTACATCCATGGTGAGACTAGTCAGGGACTGAGCAGTGTCCCCAGTACAAGCCCCATCAGCAGACAGCTGCAGGAGTACATCCATAGTGAGACTAGTCAGGGACTGAGCAGTGTCCCCAGTACAAGCCCCATCAGCAGACAGCTGCAGGAGTACATCCATAGTGAGACTAGTCAGGGACTGAGCAGTGTCCCCAGTACAAGCCCCATCAGCAGACAGCTGCAGGAGTACATCCATAGTGAGACTAGTCAGGGACTGAGCAGTGTCCCCAGTACAAGCCCCATCAGCAGACAGCTGCAGGAGTACATCCATAGTGAGACTAGTCAGGGACTGAGCAGTGTCCCCAGAACAAGCACCGTCAACACACAGCTGCAGGAGTACATCCATGGTGAGACTAGTCAGGCAGTAGCATTCTGGAAGGGATTATTAATGTCACATGTATACTGGGCCCATAATGTTCCAAGAACCGAACTAAAGGTCACGGTTTGAAATTAAAGTTTTCCGTCCAAGATGAGTAAAATTCAGGAGGGACAAGTGACATTTCCTTTCCACTTATCCCAGATATGTCACGATATGCTTACCTCACATATTGCGATACCCGCGTCATCATAACTAGTTTACGTCATTTTTGTGTGAAATGTTCCACGTGCAATGATGTAGGTGACAAGAGGTTTAAAACTCATTTCTCTACATTTGCCCAAATTGACATCTGAAACAGTCAGTACCTGTAAATATCATAAATACCACAGCAGGATGAGTGAGTGACTGTTGGTTTGTGGCAGTCTGTGACATTCCAGCTGTCCTGGCTTCAGGATCATTGGGTCTGAGCAAGGGAAACCCGTGAATGTGGCTGACGGCGTTGGAACATTCCATGTTATACTCAACCACATCAAAGTCAACCAGAGATGAACACTTAACCATTTTCACACTCAACTGAAAATAAAGCCAAGTTTGGGCCAGTCATGTTTTGGCACAGATTGCATCTTGTAGAAATACCATCATGTTTGACCTTCATCATACTTACATGGTTGTAGAACCAGTACAAACTGAGTAACCATTGCAACACCTGGATTCAGGTCCATCATGAAATGGTAACCATGACAACTGGAGCTGGGTACACCATCAAACTCCTTACACTGTGTAACCATGACAACTGCAGCTGACACACCATCAAACTCCTTACACTGTGTAACCATGACAACTGCAGCTGGCACACCATCAAACACACATGGTCTGTACTGTGAGGTCTTCAGCCAGGAATCTGGTGCCGGAACATACACACACAATACACGATGACAGCTAGGGCCAGGATATCCGCTTTAACTTGCTTTTCTTGTTTGGCGTTTCTTCCAACACTGGCGAGTCAGGCGCCACCTGTAGGCAAATACAAATATAACTTGTAGAATGCGATGTGTGCGAAACATAACACCCTTATCTGTAACAATATAATCATATCACTGATATATCTCATTTAAATCATATCCTTGTTCTAACTCCCGCTGAACAAACGTCTGAGGACATCCCATCAGGGGTCATGTCAGAACAACCTTTCATCCGACCAATCAGAATGTCACTTACAAGATCATGCAACCTTGAAAAGGTGAACACAGGGTATTTAACAGGTCCAGATCTATGCTTGCTGTACCAGGCGACTATGCTTGCCACTAAAGGCGACTAACAGGATCGGGTGGTCAGGCTCACTGACTTGGTTGATGCATGTCATCGTATCTCAATTGCGAGGATCGATGCTCATGATGTCAATCACTGGATTGTCTGGTCCAAACTCGATTATTTACAGACCGCCGTCATATACCTGGAATATTGCTGAGTGCAGCATTAAACAACAAACAAACAAATCAAATGCAACTGGAGCAAATCTTACTCTACTACTTTTGAACACTGATCCAGTCCATGGAATCTGACTTGTTTTAATATTACATTCCAGCTATGTTACCATGGTTACCTTGGTTTTATCCTCCTGTACATCCTTCATTTCAACATCTCCGTTCTCCTCCACCTTTGAGAGCTTCCCCTGACTCGGGGACTCTAAATGTTTGTTAATTAACTTAATAGTACTATTTCTACTTTGTTTCTTTTCTTCAGAATCTGATGTGGCAGACATTGTGATTTTCACAATCTTCTTGGACAGAGTGGAAACGTCTTGAGATGTTGACTTGGTTGGGGAAGCTGGCGTGGTGGACTTGGACCCTGACCCGAGTTTGATTACCTTCCTACTCGTATCAATACAAGATGGCGGCGGCTTCAGACGGTCACCGCCTCCCTTGCTAGGATCACTGAAGGATGTCAAGAAACGAGAAGACGAGGAATCTGACCCATCCATGTTCTGTTTTCTGAAATACAGGAGATTATGAACATAAACATTGTTAATAGTCCGTAATGATATTTCCAGAACACAAGTGTGTATGATTTTACACTGCTTTTAGCAACATTCCAGTAATAATTGGGGACACCAGAAATGGGCTTCACACATTGGACCCATGTGGGGAATCGAACCCGGGTCCTCGACGCAACAAGCAAATGCTTAGCCACTAGGCTATCCCACCAACCCTCCAGAACACAATTGGGAACAGGTACTTAAACATAACATATGACCAAAACATTGCTCTGGGTTGCAATATTTAAACTCTGGAACTCAACTCATCACTGACTGGAACTCAACTCATCACTGACTGGAACTCAACTCATCACTGACTGGAACTCAACTCATCACTGACTGGACTCAACTCATCACTGACTGGAACTCAACTCATCACTGACTGGAACTCAACTCATCACTGACTGGAACTCAACTCATCACTGACTGGAACTCAACTCATCACTGACTGGAACTCAACTCATCACTGACTGGAACTCAACTCTCCATGCAACATGACAAACTAATGACTGAAAACTGAACAGTGAATCATACAAATGATAAGGCTTAAGCTTCTGTAACCATGGTTACCCAGGTAAGGAAACCAACAGAATCTCAGCAAGTTGAAATAATATAAGCGGTGAGGGAATTAAGATTTAACATCACATCAGCAGTATCGTGCAGTATTGCAGCAATATCGTGAAGATGTAACATAAGTAAGATGACATACTTTAGAGGAGGTTCCTCCATGTCAGGTGCTGTGATGCGTCTCTTCTTGGCCATAAGGACCTGTTTCTTGGTGAGGTCACGTCCACGACGGTTCTGGCGGTAGCGGCGTTGGGGGAGTGGCAGGATGTACTTGTAGTAGAGCTGGAGGAGTTCTTCCTTGTCCAGACTCTGCAGGTCTGGGATCTTGATGTACCTCTGTACAACACATCACGACTCCATTACATCCGATTCAGGAGCAGCAACAGAGATTTACTGTCCATTTAACTTATTTGTCCTAAATAATCATACTCACTTGAACTTTGACCGTGTTGATCATGACACATATTAATACATGGTTCAAACAGATATGGAACACTATAATTCAAGGCCTTTTCAAGCCGTCAACTGTCATTGTTGGGTTATTAGCCTTTGGCGATATTTTATTAGTGAGTGAGTGAGTTAGTTTGGTTTTACGCTGCTTTTAGCAATGTTCAAGCAATATGGGGGACACCAGAAAATGGGCTTCACACATTGTACCCATGTGGGGAATCGAACCCGGATCCTTGGCCTGGCGCGTGAACGCTTCAACCACTAGGCTACCCCACCACCCCCAATATTTTATTAAAACCAACATACTATACTATTATATTATTCTATAAAAAGCAGTATGACCATAATGCATTTTTCTACAAGATCTATTTTCACATCCAACAAAAAATTTTAATATGTTTGTCATGAATTCTTCTTGGTCTTTGGCACACAAATGATAAATTGCACTTGAACAAATATCCTGTCGTACATATTTATGCACGCTTTAATACTTTTATTAACAAGTACAGTGTTCCTGCTGGCATTTGAAGCTGGGAAAATTACCAGTCCAATCTTATCGCTAAGGTGAAACAGGGTTTAACATCGTGTTTAAGATTATTGTACTCTAGTTATAGCAACATGCATGCTTGCCCACTGAGATACCATGCCACAGTCAAGGAAGGTTCATTCCCACTGACTGACTGACATCCAGCAAAAGGTATGTTTTTGCAATATGTTTGATGTAAAAGTAGACACAAGTTATGGATAACAACTTCTTTAATTCTGTTAAAATCGACGTTTCGGTATAAATCCTTATACCAATAGACTGTCTTGCTTGATCTTCTAAGAAATGTCTATCAAACAATTAAGCGCTTGATGTAATCTATTTGTTTTTTTACATGTGGCCATACCGATTCAATGCACATAGATAGTTTCAGCTTAAAAATTGTTAAAAAGAATATCACAAGGATATAATGCAGAAAAACACTGTATCAGATTGCCAAAAGCACACTTCCATGATGGTGGGGAGGGTGCAGTTTGTGTGCAAGGCCAGGGTGGAGGGGACAGCCCAGGTTTCGTGTGGGTTAGACACAATGAGTGGAGACAACCTCGCAAACGTATAGGCTCGTAAGATGATCGAGCAGAGCCAGATGGAGAACGTGGTACGGGAATCCTCGGTCACCATAGCTATCAAGAGTGGAATGAAAAGTCTCTTTCAGGAGTGCCGATCATGCCGATGGGGACTTGAAGCAGCAAGGTACATATGGATTGACTTCTGCCTGCCCGTGGCTGGTAATTTTTCTGTCGGCCTGCATAAATTGTTCCTATACCTGCCTGACTATCTGGGAAATGATTTAAAGACTACTTACGTATTCCTTACTCATAACTCCTTGTAGATTCTTAAGTGATGGTTTTGCGTTATTTCAACATAATCCAGATGCTATGTGTGTCTACTTTTTCGCGATTTTTCAATATTTAGAATGTCTGAATGCGAGCAGGTAACTTTGAAGATGGGCAGGCAACACTTATGGGTCACCTGCCCAACTGTCTTGTTCCCTGAAAAGTGCACCTTTCCCCTAATTTGAATCTTAAAAGTGGGACCTAAAGTGAAACTGGTAAACAAGGAAAAGTGGTAAATGCAGTACTCATTATTGTCAGTTGAGACGAACTAATTCTTGGTCCAACTTCATTCCGAGTTCTTGCTTACAACTGGTTTCTTTAGGCCACATTGATCAAGGTCGCCCGCCCATCTTCCTGGAAGATCGACGTTCGTGTATAAGCCCAAGACCTACATCTGACATGATCTCAGCCTACCCAGACTGATGCAATGTTTGGAAGGTGAGCCACACCGATCATGGCACATGTCTCGACACGCGTAACTTTTCATGTCTCCTTAACACAGAAGGATTGGCAAACGGAAAAGATAACTAAAAGATGCCATAAAAGCACAACCGCATATCTTCACCTGCTCAAGTATATACAGAAGTCCATCTTTGGTCAGTAATTCAGGATAAAGCCAGTCAATATCACCATGCTTCGTCTTTGTAGAAGACGCCATTTTGAAAGGTACATAGCGGAGTAAATGTATGCTTTTTTCTCATTAGTTAATACATGTAAACTCCCTGCCGAGATTCGGGGGCGTAAAAGGGTTCGGCAACCGAGTAACATGTGCCACTGCACCACAATGTTAGTGCTGTAGCGGAGTATGTATCGACTATGTTACTATGTATAGCATGTTTACGCATGAAGCTTCGAAGAAGTGGTATCTTATGATGCAGTTGTTTGATGAAAGCAATTAGTTTTTAACTTGTTCATCGACAAAAAAGGTATTGTTCTACAGTCAGTAACATATAACTGCTTTTGTATCACATGACATTGTGAATGTTAGGAATTCAGCAGGTATAAACAACTTTCTGTTGCAGTCCCCAATGTAGATTCTCCTTCCGGAATAGGAAGTAACTAGTAAGTCAATACAGGTGAAATATGCTGACGATCAGTTTTAGTACCTATGCCTATCAAATAATATATTGTTATTAGAAATCGCGTTTGTAGTTTTAAATAGTGAGAAATGGTTACGCCAAGCCCGATAACAGCTCCAATGTGTTCATACGTTGCCCCACCTCTCTCACAGAGTCTTTGAAAGGCATTAAAAGTGATACACATAAGGAAGAGAATTTATCGATGTCAACTTCTTTATTATGAGGAACACAACGTTTTTGAGTATAGACTTACTTCTTTATCAGGTGCAAAATGCCATGGGGCAGAGAACATATATATTTACCTATAATTTTAAGAACAACAAATGGAATAAGGTACGTAACAAAGCTTGAACTTAACAAGGAAGTCAACAGATAATTGGCGTTGGTAGGTGATTAGTAGTGGACAAATGGAAGCCGACACTAATCAGTAAACGTTGTGTTCCTCATAATAAAGAAGTTGACATCCATAAATTCTCTTCCTGAGAAGCTGATGTATTGAGAAATGTATATACACAGCTGTATGAATTATGATGTACACCCTCCCCTCTCTTATTCACGTAACAGTTCTCATACAAGTCAGCTCAGCAAATCTAACACGAACAATAAATGTCATACATTCTGCAATGCTGTGTCACAAATTCATAAAAGAAGCAAATCACGCATCGGCCAATGGAAACATACATTTTTTCTCCGTATTATCACAGGAATACGTAGCTGTGACAAAAAGCAACAAAAAATGTAGAGACATTATCTGCTTACACACTGCCTTCCGCCTTGTAGGATACATCACTCAATATCTCTATTTCTTAATTGTGCATCTATATATATCGGTATTCCGGTGTTATTATGTTCATTCAGGCCTCAGTTTGTGTGTCTGGGTTGGTCACTGGCTTGGCCTGTACTTAGTTCTCTATTGTTCTCTGTGTCTGTGTAGCAGGGCGTGGAGTCATCCCTAAGATGACATCCTTACCTTGTCAGCTTGCTGACGGGGTTAACCTCTTTGGTCATGTGGACAAGGCGTCCGACCTCTGGTCAGAAGGTCCGTGGTTGGTTCGAATCACATCACGGGACTCGTAAAGTTTTTGGCCGTTACATTGGCGCCCAACGTGGGGCTGAGCATGTTCATATTAAATTTGAGCAAGATAAGCCTCAGTACCATACTATGCGGCCCGGGACGTGCCTTCTGTTGACGGGGGAGTATGTATCAGGACGTGGAGTCATCCCACAGATGACATCCTTACCTTGTCAGCTTGCTGACGAAGTTAACCTCTTTGGTCATGTGGACAAGGCGTCCGACCTCTGCTCAGAAGATCCGTGGTTCAAATCCCATCATACTATGCGGCCCGGGACGTGCCTTCTATTGACGGGGGAGTATGTAGCAGGGCGTGGAGTCATCCCACAGATGACATCTGTGGTAACCCCAGACTACATACAATCATATAATAAACAAGACAACCCGGTATTAGAGGGATAGTCAAGATGTACATGTATTTACTCTTCTTGAGTGTTTACATTCATGGCGGAAGCAGCCGCCGCGAGGGTTCCCAGAATTCCCTGCCAAGGGAGCAGTTATTATGCTTAAGTGGAAATCACGGGGAGTGGCTTATTGTTTAAACTGTTACTCTATGACACTCCTCCCCCATAGTTTTGTTGCACTTTAAACATAACTACCATAATGAATCTACACATGTTGAAAGAACTGACAATTGCTCCAGAAGATGTCATTAAAGTGTCTCTTCACATATCTCATTGGAACATTTTAAATGAAATTTAACCAATATTGTTCCAGATGTTATTTAGAGTCTCTCATGTCACACAATAACTGGAACACTTTAACTGAATATGCACTTGCATTAATGATTAAAGATAACTGGATATGCATCTGCTTATGTCTGAATAAGGGAACCAATAACAAGATCCAAAACTATCAATCACTGATGGTTCACTTAGGTGACAAATAGTGTGAAATACATCACATTCTCATTACAGTTCATAACTCAGCAGCAATCTTTAGATTAAGTCTATCCGGCGCTTTCCGGATTCTGGAAGAACAACGAAATTCTAGCGCACCACAAGAATCTGACTGAGTAGGAGATAGTGCCTCTGGTAAGACCTGCTGTGGCTCGGGCCTTGTAGAAGTAACTTCATCTTGCAGGTGAGGGGTACCCGGAAGTACTGGAATGTTGCCAGGTTCAGGCAACATAGGTAACTTGTCGGGTAGTTCTGGTAGAACTGATTGTTCATGTGTTGATGGAACTGTTTTATCATGTTGGCTTTCATGCATCAGAACATGGCGCAAACGCAGGTGATCAATATGGCGCTTGACAACACCACCAATGTCAAGACGAACATGGAACGACACTGGACCGGTTCTCTCTGTTATGATTCCTGACAACCATTTGTCACCAGGACGAAAGTTTAACACATACACAAGATCTCCAACTTGCATGTGACGGTCCTTTGCATGTGCATCATGTACTGACTTTTGCTGTTTTTGTTTGTTCCTAACTTTACAGCTCATATCTGGATGAAGAAGGTTGAGATGAGACTTCGGTCTTCTTCGAAGAAGTAATTCTGCTGGAGATAACCCCGTTGTAGTCTGCGGGGTAAGTCTGTATCTGAACAAAAACCGTGCAAGTTTTGTGTCCATTGTGCCCCCTGTCATACGTTTAATGCCAGATTTAAAGGTTTGTACAGCTCGTTCTGCTAACCCATTAGAGGCAGGGTGATACGGTGCCACACATGTATGAGTGATGCCATTACGTTTCATAAAGACAGAGAATTCCTCACTTGTAAAACAAGTGCCATTGTCAGTGACCACTTGGTCTGGCAGTCCATGAGTCTGAGACAATCAATTGTAGCAGTTGATGTGGCACTGTTCATTGGAAACACTTCCAACCATTTAGAATGTGTGTCAATACACACAAGGAACATTTTACCCAGGAAAGGTCCGGCATAGTCTAAATGCAAACGACTCCATGGATGTTCAGGCCATTCCCAAAAGTGAAGCGAAGCCTCGGCTTGTACTGGACGAGACTGTTGACACACAGAACAGGTTTTCACCTTGAGTTCCAATTCATCATCCATCTTTGGCCACCATACGAATCCACGCGCTACAGACTTCATGCGCGAGATACCTGGATGAGCTTCATGCAACATGTTCACAACAATCTCTCGACCTTGTGGCGGCACAACAATACGATTGCCCCACAAAACACAGCCATCAAGGACACTCAATTCATGTTTCCTTTTCACAAAAGGAGTGAAAGACTCCTCTAGATTTATGCTTGGCCATCCAGAAAGAAGGAAATTTCTTACTCTGGAAAGGGTTGGATCTCTGTCTGTCCATTGTTTAATTTGCCATGATTTCACAGGAGAAGCATCCATTGCTTCCAGTAAGAGGATTGTGTCCCCTGGTAGAGGTGGATTTGGTGGTGTGTATGGTAAGGGAAGACGACTCATGCAGTCGGCATTCGCAAGGGAAGTACCTTTTCTGTACTCGATTGTATAGTTATATGCAGAGAGGGTTAATGCCCAACGTTGAATTCTGCTCGATGCCATCTGTGAAATGCCCTTGTCCCGACTGAAGATACTCTCGAGGCGTTTGTGATCTGACAACAGAGTAAAGGAACGCCCGTAGATATACTGATGGAACTTCTTAGTTCCGAAGATAATTGCTACAGCTTCACGATCCAATTGAGAGTAATTCTTTTCTGCTTGCGACAGAGACCTGGATGCGAATGCTATTGGTTTCTCTACACCATCATCAGACTGATGTGAGAGGACGGCACCTACCCCATAGGGAGATGCATCACACGCCAATACAAGTTTCTTATGGGGATCATAATGCGTCAAGAGATCACAAGAAGACAAATGTCCTTTCACCATGTTGAAAGCTTTTTTCTGTTGAGTTCCCCATGACCAGGTAACTTCTTTCCTGAGAAGCCGATGCAAGGGCGCCAAGGTAGTGGCGAGATTAGGCAAGAAACGCTGATAATACTGCACGAGTCCAAGGAAGGATTTAAGTTCAGCAACATTGCGTGGAGCTGGAGCCGACACTATAGCCTTCACCTTTTCATCAAGGGGATGCAAACCCTGCGCATCTATTTTGTGACCCAAATACTCTACTGAGCCGACCATGAATTTGCACTTCTGTGCGTTCAATCTGAGACCAGCCTTGCTAAGTCTGGATAGGACTTTCTTCATGTTTTCCAAATGTTCCTGTTCAGAGGCCCCGGTGACGAGAATATCATCCAAGTAGACACAGACATGGGGAATGTCTTTGAGCAAGCACTCCATAGTTCGCTGGAATACAGCTGGAGCTGCCGATATGCCAAAGGGTAAGCGCTGGTACTGATAGAGGCCACGATGAGTGTTTATAGTCGTGAGCTTTTGCGACTCCTCGGCAAGGGTTAACTGTTGGTAGGCTTGACTTAAATCCAGTTTCGTGAAAGTCTTTCCACCTGACAAAGATGCGAACAGATCTTCGATCCGTGGAATGGGGTAAACATTAGTACGAGCGACCTTGTTGACAGTTAATTTGTAGTCTCCACAAATTCGTATGTTCCCATTGGATTTAACCACTGGTACGATTGGAGCAGCCCAATCAGAATACTGCACTGGCTTGATAATACCCTGGTTTTCAAGGCGTTCAAGTTCATCGTCAACTTTCTGACGAAGAGCATAAGCAACATTCCTGTGCTTATAAAATCTTGGCACATTTGAGGTGATCTCAATAGTGACCTTTTGATCCTTGAATTCCCCTATATCATCTTGGAACACATCAGAATAAGAGTTCAAAATGTCTTGTAACCCTTCATTTCTCACATTCAAAATTTTCCCCCAATCTAATCTGATGGCCTGAAGCCAATCTCTGCCAAGCAAGTTCTCGCCATCACCTTCCACCACTGTCAGCAGGAGAGTGGCCGACTGATTTCCATAATTTACTTGAACGTCTGTAGTGCCTACTATCGGTATACTCTCTCTGTTGTAGGACCGAAGAATAGCATTGGTCTCACTTAACTTCGGCCTGTCATCACCCTCCTTCCACGCTGAATGGAAAGTACTTGAACTGATCACTGAAGTTGCTGCGCCAGTGTCTATCTCCATAGTTAGCTTTTTACCATTAACTAACACTTCAATGAGATAGGGCTCCACTCTGTGTCGCTTACCACTCAATCCGTTTTGAGCATGTTGAGTTTCTACCTTAAAAAGTCCATATTCATTGTTCTCGTCTTCCTGAGATACATTGTCAATACGATTAGCATGATTAGTGGAAGATCTGTTGTCCTTGTAATGGGTACCACGACCATGACCACGGCCCCTGTCGCGACCACGACGACGGCTGTGACCACGGCCTGAAGATCTATCATTCATGGCGCTTCGAGAGCGACAAGCACGCTGGATATGACCAACCTTATTACAATTGTTACACACAGCGTTTTTGTAATAGCACTGACTGCTGACATGATTTGAGCCCCCACAGCGATCACACTTCCAGCCTGCATTATTTCTCCTGTTATCCTCTCTAATCTTGTGCACTGGCCTTGGCATCTGATCTCCCCCTTTAATATCATGCACTTCCTTAGCAGCCATTTCCATTCCTAAACACAAGGAGTAAGCCTTAGCAAAGTCCAATGTTTTCTCAGTTAACAGTCTTTTTTGCATTGCTTCATTGTTGATACCACACACTAGACGATCCCTTAACTGAGTCTCTAAATCAGTGTATTCACATGTCGATGCCAAACGACGTAGCTCAGCCACATATGCCGATACAGTTTCATTAGGCTGTCTATCATGCATATTGTTACGTCTCCTTTCCATCATAATAGTGGGTTTCGGGTGTAAATGTGACTTCATCAGGTGTACTAACGCATCATAAGAATGATCGCCAGGTTTCTGTGGCGTAGACCAGTTCCATATTAACTTGTATGACTTCGCACCAATCACACTCAATAGAATAGCACGCTTCCTACCCTGATCTGTAATTTCGTTTGCTTCAAAATAATGTCCAAGTCTGACCAAGATCGTTGTTACTACTTGCCGGCACGACAAACGCACTAAATTGACCTCGTCGCCAATATATGTGTAACCCCAAACTACATACAATCATATAATAAACAAGACAACCCGGTATTAGAGGGATAGTCAAGATGTACATGTATTTACTCTTCTTAAGTGTTTACATTCATGGCGGAAGCAGCCGTCGCGAGGGTTCCCAGAATTCCCTGCTAAGGGAGCAGTTATTATGCTTAAGTGGAAATCACGGGGAGTGGCTTATTGTTTAAACTGTTACTCTATGACAACATCCTTACCTTGTCAGCTTGCTGATGGGGTTAACCTCTTTGGTCATGTGGACAAGGCGTCCGACCTCTGCTCAGAAGGTCCGTGGTTCGAATCCCATCAAGGGACTCGGAAATTTTATGGCCGCTACATCTGCATGATCTGTTTATGTTAATATGACAGCCACAACTTCTGCTGGTCAGTTGGCATATATATTTCCCCTCCTGACACCTGATGGGGGCATCGCCACTGCATTGATAACATAGGGCCAGCTCAAGTTGTTCTCATGAACGAACCCTGTGAAGATCCGGGGTAGAATACAGTCTTCTGCAACCCTTGCTTGCCCTGAAAGGAGACTATGCTGGTCGTAAGAGGTGACTAACGGGATGGGGTGGTCAGACTCGCTGACTTGGTTGATGCATGTCATTGTATCCCTTTTGCGTGGATCGATGCTCATGATATGTCACTGGATTGTCTGGTCCAGACTTGATTATTTACAGACCGTCATCATATAGCGGGAATATTGCTGAGTGTGGCATTAAACAACAAACAAACAAAGAAACAAACAAACAAATCTTATGAAGGGATCATCATGTCCCCACAACTGGTTCCAGAAATTCCCATATGTCATGTTGTTTGGTAAATATTACCGCATATTGGAATTAGAGTTATTTCCCCTCGGTCAAGCACGGGCAGAACTTTGTGAAAATACAAGTGCATTTGGACCGCCATCTTTCACTTGGGTTGTGTGTTGAGTAACCCTGGGTACTCTCTTCAAGTTACCACAAATGGGGGACGAGGATCAGGCTGACATGGCATTGATAGATGCAAGGATGCTTTCTCACCCGAAAGGGAAACTTGTGAGTGATACATTGAGTGTTTGGACCAGTTTATGGAGGGGAATTCCGTAGACAACCCAGAGGGCATGAGAAACGTTTTTCAGTGTTGCCGGAGCCGAGCTATACAGGGTTATAAGAAGCCTTCTCTTGTCTGATAAACCGTCAACAAGGACGTATGTAGAACTAGTCGCAGGTTGGAAAAACACTGCCCTAAGCCATTGCAATCGATGATTGCTGAGAGATACCAGTTTTTGAAATGAGACCAAGAAGTAGGGGAAGTTGTTGCAGTCTATGTTGTTGAGGGATGTTATTTGGCTAGCACGGGTGATGTCATTGCTTTTCTGAATGAAGCGCTTCCTGATAAACTTGTTTGTGGGTGAACAAGTGGATAGTGTAGACGATCGGGGTGACCTTGGAATAACTAAGGATTTGAATGGCCTTGACCTGTTTTGTGTATATTCAGCTGTAAATGCTGGGTCCAAAGCGTGCCAAGCTACATTTCTTCTTGAAAACCAACCACTCAAAATTGACATGGGCACAGCAGCTGTTGTTTCCTTTACTCCAGAAGCATTCTCCAGAGAATATTTGAGTGAGTTACCATTGCACGGTTTGAGCAGACATTGCATTCATATTTAGACAAACGGATTGATGTCACGGGCCAAGTTAATGTGCATGTGAAGTATGGTTCACACAGCCATGGATTACCTGGCAGTTGGCAGGTGGCAATGTGTTCACAAAGTTGGACCTTTCACATGCTAACCAACAGCTGGAGTTAGATCCGGACGCACAAGTCTTCCTAACCATTAATACACGCTGTGGATTGTACAAGTAAAGATGTATGGAGTTCCCACTGCACCTGCCATATTCCCAAAGACGATGGACCAGATTTTACAGGGTATAGTGTGTGTTATGTGTAACTTGGATGATATCCTGATACGAGGAATAGAAAAGGCTGATTACGATCGTATCATAGAGACATTCACGAGCCACCTCGAGAGCTATGGTGTTCAACTCGTGAGGTTGAAATGTGAGTTAAAGGTACCTCACGTTACTGACCTGGGACTCAAGGCATTCACTACTGAGGATGAGGACTCCGCTATGAACTACTATGGTAGTGTCTTTGAAAACCTGTCAACAAAATTGGCGCCACTGTACAAGTTACTGAAAGAAGAACTATTGTTATGGTTGAAAGCGTGTCAGCTGTAAGTACCCATCTTCCTGAGGCAAGTGAGTTAATTGACTATAAAAGTCCAGTTTCCACCCTTGCCGAACTAGGCTGGACTTCCTTGACTTGATCGTAGCGCCACTTGTGGCTATTACGAGTTATGTCCCTTCAATGCCTCTCCTATGGACCAATAAGATTCAACCTCTCGTATCACTTGCATTTGCTTCAAACAAAATGGCGGCACCCAGTCAATACGATCTGATCGATAATCAAGATCTATTTTGTGATGAAACAAGTCTTACATAGCGAAGTGCATCAAATCATGTGAGCACCTTGATTAAAAACATGAAAAGATTTAGAAAATATCTGTTGACAACGCACATGCTTTGCAAATTCTGCAATCGACTGAAAACTGCATGACAGTTTATGAACCGGATTTTGATTTTGTTTGGCAATTTTGTTTGGACTATGCATAGACTCGTAAGTCCAGCCAAAATGTAACTCCATTATACCAGCCTAATTCGTCAAGGGTGGAAACTGGACTTTTATAGTCAGTTAACTCTCTTTCCTCGGGAATATGTGTGAACACTGACTGAAACAGAGATTGTTCAATTCAGGTCACACAGCAGGATTTAGATCTTTTCTTTTTATGTGTACATGGATTTGTCTGGACCTGCTCAGAGGCTGTTCCTTGACCCCGAGTCTGCAGCAGAAGTCAGTTACAAATTTAAAACCACTCACTCACTCACTCACTCACTCACTCACTCACACTCACTCACTCACTCACTCACTCACTCACTCACTCACTCACTCACTCACTCACTCACTCACTCACTCACTCACTCACTCACTCACTCACTCACTCGTAGCCTAGTGGTTAATGTGTTTCCTTGTCACGCCGGAGACCCGGTTCGTTCCCCACATGGGTAAAATGTGTGAAGCCCATTTCTGGTGTCCCTCGCTGTGATATTGCTTGAATATTGCTGAAAGCTGTGTAAAACCATGCTCACACATTGTTTTTTGACACACTATAAGGAATGTTTGTTTGACACCCGTTGTCTCTTCTTCATGCACATTAGAGACCATTCATTATTTGGTGTCTGAAAAGGATCATTCATTTCCTCTTTACCTGACCTGGCTTGTTTGTCAGAAGCAGCTTGTAGGTACAGGGCTTCTAGTAGGGGAAACATGGTCGTGCAGGAAACCCAGAGGGACAAGGCTCTATGGTGCAAGTCTGGGGCAAGACATTGCGCTACAAACTGAGGGGAATTGGTAACTGCTAGATTGATAAAAGTAATACCATGTGTTAAAGCAGAGAGATGAATGGGTTTTTTATGACTTGATAGAAACTTTATAGGACTGCTCAAATTCCAAATGTATTTAATTGCAATAGGACAAGTAGAACTATAGTACATAGTACATAGTACATACTACAGACTCTACATAGTACAGATTCTACATACTACATACTACAGACTCTACATACTACAGACTCTACATAGTACAGATTCTACATACTACAGAGTCTACATACTCCATACTACAGACTCTACATACTACAGACTCTACATACTACAGACTCTACATACTACAGACTCTACATACTACATACTACAGAGTCTACATACTACAGTCTACATACTACATACTACAGACTCTACATTCTACATACTACCTGACATTTGTCAGCTTCATGTGGGAGGAGAGCTAAAAGTGAGATTAGATATTTACCACTGTAGTGAAACCCACAAGCACTGATATGCTGCTGACCAGCCCAGAAACACAATAAGAGTGATTCTGGGATAATAACCCATGATACCATATTCACTCTATTAAGCACCCTGCCCCATTAAGTGCACCTCTGTTCACATTTTACACCAATCTGTAAGTGATCGTTATAAGTCCCTCTTGCTAAACTTGGAACTCGATATGACCGACTAAGGGTATACAATAGCCTTGTAGTTATTATCACAAACATTTTAGTTCCGTTTGAAGCATGTTTGTTCTTTACGGCTTAATGAAAGACAACAAATTTAACACATTTTGTATGGTTTTAATAAAAGCGCAGGACGCTTATTACAGTGAATATGGTAATGGGTGTCTTGCATGCCTAAGTGACGCAACTCTGCACAGCAAATTGCAGCACCACCGATTGGGCCACTCGTGCCCTCTGTAGGATGAGGAAGATGTGTAATGATGGCTGTAATCACGTCTGCTTCAGCTAGGGCATCATGGGTGTCTTCTCCATGTGCGTGATTGCCCTCGATCTCACGACAAGCGTCAGCTTCAAGAAGAAAGTTGAGATAAAG